AAAAAGAAAGAAAATTCACTGCAGACACTCATCACCTGTGTCATTGGCGATCTCATTTTCTGGGCACAGGGTGCAATCAAAACAGCAGGCCATTTTTCCCTCCTGAAAGGACTTTCGAAATCCCAGATCACAGCTCTCACTGCATACAGAGTGGGGAGTCTGAGGAAAATCACATGTGATTTGGTAACTTCTCAGGCTCTTCCCTAATCTTTCATAATGACAGTGGTCAAAATTAATTTCTCATATACATATGTCCTGTTATATAAAAATCATGTGTACTGAGTGACAAAGTTATGTGAACAGTTAATAATATGGTTAAATTGATATGATGTTCCACTGAGCTGAAAGTGGGTCAACAAACATTCTGCAATTAGGAGTGTTGTGAAATCTGTGACTTTCTGAGTCAAATTGAACACATACCCTGCAATACTCTATGGCATCCATAGTTAGTGAGGCCCCCTTTGACCAGACTAACATACCTCTGTACTTCCTGTGGCCCACTCTATCAAGTCCTCAGATATAGACAATTGTTGACCATGTGGAACACGTGAGGAAAATGATCCAACACGGACCTTAAGTCTAAGGCCTTCTGGAAAATTCCAAAAGTTGAGAATGTCATACTCTGCATCCAGTTTCCTTTTGTCATCTAAGTTCACTGGATCTCCAGCAGGATTGTTAAACTGAAGATTCTTCAAGTAGAGGTGAAGCTAAAACAGATAGATTTCACCATAATGAAGATGGCCTCTGTATTCATACATAAACCTGAAAGGGGGACCGCTTCAATTGTCTTTAAGCACTAGTACCTAATGCAAATTGAACAACACCATCCATTGAATCCAATAAAATAGAACAAATGAATACCTATGGGGAGTAAAATATAGTATCATAATGTTTCTAAATATCATTATGGAGAGAAAACCACACTGAACAAGTGCATTTAAAGCCAAGTTGTATGTGAACATTAGGCAAAATTGAACTGTGGAGTCAAAGTTCTCCACACTTATTTTCTTCCTGATTGTTCCCAGAGGCGTACAAAAGGGGCTGAGAATTCAGTGAAGAAATTCACACAGTATATCCACCATAGTGTTTAGCACCACTGAAGTACTGAAGGAACTACATCTTTTCCTGTTGTTTAGAACAACTTAAACTATAAATTTTTGTAAGATAATGTAAGGGAAGCAGGAGTTTAAGACCCTTTGGAAGAGCCAGCCAAATAACTCTTTGGATTACAGTATCTGCTCAGGCAGAAGCAGGAGCTGCGAGTTCCATCCCAGGCCTTCCTTGCTGGCCCTGCCCTGGGGCGCGCTGAGATGGCCTGACACTGGGCGTGGTGTCACGCGCCTGCAATCCTAGAACTTGGGAGGCTGTAAACAGGAGTATCACTACTAGTCCTATGTACGAAGTGAGACCCTGTCCACCCTGTCTTTAAATACAAAAAAAAAAACCCTTTGGAAAAGAAAACATTCAACTTTAATGAGGAATATGTGTCTTTTTGATAGTGAATCTTGTTTATTTTTCTCCATTTAAAGACAGAAAAAAGTAGTAAAAATGATACAGACTTTCTAAACAACATGAGAGAAAATTAACAACAGTTGTACTTCATATTATTATCTTCAAAGTAGTTGCTCAGATTACAAGATATAGGCATGAACAACTGGAATGGGGGATGGAGAAAACAAAGAAGTGAAAATGAAACAAAAACAAAACACACACACGCATATATGTATCAAAAAGACATACAACATATACATATACCATAAATAGATCTACGATAGCAAAGATAATCATACTAATAATTTCTACTAGTTCCTTGAAAGGGACAGTGCTTAAGTTTTTGACTAATTTTGCATGGATCTTTTATTGTTTTAATTTTTTTAATCATTTATTTAGTTAGTTGGTACAGGATCTCACCACACAGCGTGTACTCATAGTAATCCTCCTGAATCAGCCTGCCCAGCACTGGTATTACAGGTATGTGTGACCCTGCCCAGGTTCAGTGGCTAGTAGGACAGGCCCATTGTTCCAAGGCTGGCATGGCCTGCAGTACTGGGGTTCAAACTGGGGTCCTGCATTGCCAGGCAGGTGTTTAGAGTGCTCAGCTATGTTCCCAGCCCTGGATCTTGCATTGATGAAGCATTCAACCCAAGTTAGACTGACCTTGTTGACAATGAAATGTAAACAATTTCTTGGGCTTTTTTAGAGAAAGCATTCTAAATATTTACTTTGAGCACTGTTGGAAGCCCTTCAGACATACTACATAGCAAACAACAAAAGGAAACATTACCTGCTTAGCAGGAAAGAGTATCCCTTCACAATTTCCCATTGATTGTGTTTGGCCTCGCTGAAGAAGCATCTCATGGAGGGCGTGGGCCACAGCATACACAGCATTGTACGTGTGATAACTATCATCACTCATGGTCCTCTCAAAACGGTTCACAGGCAGCCACGCCAGAGAGGCGTTAGGTATGCAGTTCTCCAATCTACAGTCAAAATCAGAGACCGAGCACTGAAAATGCTCGTACCAAAACAGAGTAAGGAAATTGTCATCTGGATATGTGGAAGGGTTAACTGCCTGAATAAAATTCTGGAAACCACCAACCTCCTCATGATGCCTCGAAAAAATGAGAGTTCCACGGAGTGGTTCAAGTATGAAATTCCTCCCAGCCATGTCGGCATGCCACTGTGAGTTTGTGACCCAGACAGTGTGTGTCATTACATATTGCCCAATGTGGTAGTTGATGTCATTGGAACTCTCAGTGTCATAGTAAACGATCACAACACTTACTGGTGACCCCTCCCTGCGCAGGAAGTCACGTTGCTGTGCGTGAGAGATAGCTGACAGAATAACATTGGAGATCATTTGCACAAAGGCCACACAGATTTCATTCCTGTTCGTCTCGGTTTTCACATCTGATAGAAACAGGTTACCTTTCTGACCTTCTGTGATGACCAGCCCCACCCAGGTCCAGCTGAAGTAAAGCATCAGAGAGACTATGCCAAGAGCCAGAGATGTGTCCTTCGGGGCCATCTGATAGAGAGAGGAGAACTGTGGATTCTCACTCAGCGTAGGGTCAAAGCTGCCAAAGGTAAGCTATGAGAAAAAAAAAAATTCAGGCCTTATGAAAAAAATTATGTGAGAAAATCACAAGGATATTAAGCCAAATCTGCAAGTTTTAGCAGTTATGCAACCAGACTCACATGTACAGATGGTTTTTAGCTTTATCTTCTTCTTACTCTCTGCTGTACAAGAATGCACGAGTCACCCACTGGTCTCAGGGTTTTTCCCATGAGAATATTCACTTTCACAAGTGCATGAGCCAAATTTCCCTCTTTCACCCTCTTCCATCACCAGAAAATGCCACTAAGATGTTGTAGTTTCATCTCTCCCTATCCCACCCACCTCACCTGTGGAAATTTGTAGAGTCCCAGCAGGGTCCCAATGTGAATAGCCATTGTCCATGATGTCTCTGTTAGTACAGCTATGGGCTTGCTCGCTCTCACACAAGTGTAATTGGGGAGATCGTCCTGTCCTGTGAGCAAGGTGAGGGAGCTCTCCAGCATCCTCCAATGATTGGGCTTGAAGTTATGGAATTCATATCCCAGAGATATATTGGGTAAAAGGTGAGGATTTCTATTGATCTCTTCAATGGCAAAAATAAAGGCTAGAACATTCTGGTAGATGTTGGGCATAAGCCTGCATACAAAGCACAGAGTTGATAAAACATAAAACATCATTTTCTTTAAATCCAGCATAACACTTTGTAGGAAGGTAATGCCTTCTTTATTTCCTTAAATTTCCAGGCCAGATTCTACCCCTGAATGTGGCTGTGTGAAAAACTTGATTGTAATAAAGTTAGATTTGCTATGAATGATAACAGTATCCTCAGGGGTGACCAGAAATACAATGTTTCATTCTTTTTCCAGTAAAATACACATTGACTAGCCTGCCACTCCTGACCTGGGAAACATATCATCTTAACACCTATAACTATTAAAAAATATATAGCAAATGTATAAGCTACCCTGCATGTGCTGAATTTATATACAGAAAAGCAAGTTATAATAATAATCTGTAGATAAACTGCTGAGACATTTGAGCTGCTTTGGGAACAGCTTGGTCTTACAAAGACTTAAAATTTACGTTTTTTGAAAATAAAATCACATATCCTCTTAAATTCTCTTATCAACCTCCTGAAACGTGGAAAAATATTTTTATTTACAAAGAAAATTGTAAACAAAGGAGGTCAACACTATATTCAGGTTGGGTTTTGTAAGTGATTATTTGTGGCAATAAATAAAAGAACTGCATGCACTGAAACATTCTTAAGTGCTTCATAGTATGTCAGTAATATTCTCATAACACTGGAATTACCAACACGGAGGCGAACTAATTCCTGAGAGCCCTGCATGAATGGTGAGAACTAAAAGAAAAACACTACGGCTGTGGGATGGCTGTGGCCCCACATGGGTGGCCTCGAGTTCAATCAGCCTCTACCCCACCCCATCTGTTACTCACCGACCATCACCAAGATCCAGGAAGCTCGAGTGGACTCAGAACCTGCTAGGAGGAGGAGTGCAGAAAGGCGAGAATGTGGGGAGCTGGTGGCAGCATCCCCAGCACTGAAGGCCCTTGGGAATTTAAGAGACATGATATCCTAGAGTTTACTTACGTCATTATTTCTTACAATAAATATATAAAAATATTAGTACAAAATTTGACATCTATATCAGTGCATACTATGTCAGTAGCCCTTGTTCTCCGCACAGAGATCTGAGGCCCCTACAACGCTTTTGTGTCCCTTTGGAACTGTCTGCACAGCAGGAGGTCAGTGTGGACAGACGAGCAGAGATTCATCTATATTTCCAGCCGCTCCCCACAGCGCACCTCACTGCCGGAGCTCCACCTCCTGTCAGAACAGAAACAGCATTTGACTTACTGATTGCAAAGGATGTAGTTGTGCACTCCTTCTGAGAATCAATCCAACATGATGGAAATAAAGTGTAAACTATTACCACAATAAAAATAGAACACAGAATAAGTAGCATACACTTACTCACCCTAAAGCCACCCTGCTGTCATCTGTGCAAAAGTTGTGCTGGAAGGGCTACACTATGCTTTTGCTAGCACACAAACAGTACAACACACAGTGACAAACTGTTGCATTTTTTACCCAGTATTTGATTTCATGAAGAATACTGTGGAGACTCTCTTTGAGTTCCTTTTATTTTATCTCTGTGTTTAGGCTTACGCAGTAGCCTAGTAGACGCTCACTTGGGGCTAATGCTCCTTTCGGTAGCGTGAAGAACACGCGGTCTTGCTACTTCATTTTCCCTCGTGCTGCTGCAGATTCACTCAGGCCTCCCACTGCTAAGTGATCGATAGCAGAGCAGTGTCCCCAACCCAGAATATGTGCTCGACTGTGGACTTCAACTATGTATATGTGTGGAATAAATTACACTTGTGACACTCACAGTGGATTGCCAACTCGATTCACTTTGGAAGCTGCCTAAAGAGTCCATGAAGAACACTTTGGAGTGTGTCTGAGTGAGCCACAGAGCCCTTTCCTTGGGAAAGATCTTAGAGATGCTTTTAAGGTCTTCACTAGGAGTGAAGATCAGAGGCGGAAGGGAGAGTTTCCGTTCAGCGAATATATACAAATTGCATGTGTACAATTTTGTTTTGTACCCAGATGGCATTTCAGTGCTTCTGGTTCCTTTCAAACCAGCATCCTCTCTGCTTCTGAAGGAATTAGTGGCCAATTCTTTTGGGGCTTTGCATCTGAGTTTTGATGTCCAGGTATAAAGCACCAATTTGGAAAGCAATACTCTGCAATGTAGCCACTATAATTTCATCCAAATCCATTCATACTAACGTCACAAAAACTTCTCCACAGGATCCTTCAGACTGCATGAACACTTCACAGCCCACAAGTAGGGCTTCTCACACTTTGGGCCTAGAACTGCTTTTGGTTGTGTATGTACTCACTTAATTCTGCCTAATAACCCACCTCTGAAGCCCACTGATGTGTAACAATTAGGAAAGAGCCCATGCAGCACGGGTTCTCGTCCCTGTCGTCTCGTTCTGGGACCTAGGACCCTGTGCGGTGGTGCTGCAATACCATTCAGCATCCTCCATGCTGTTCTGTGGATTGATTGCTTTTTTAAAAGAATTTTATTGAGAAACAATAGCAATTAGACAGTTTCAAAACTGATTAGTAGGACAGTTTTAATAAATAACACATTGCATATTGTTGTCTTTTGTTGTCTTCTCAGTGGTTATTCATAGTACAAGATGAGTACAAATCTTTCTTCTCATTGAGTTAAGAGAAGGTAGCTGTAGCTGTATATCTATCCTATTTTGAATATTTAAGTGATAATGGAATACCCATCTCTGACAAAACTCAACAAAAAAGAGGACACAAATAACTACTGATTTCTTGAACCTTTGTAGTACTGAGCATCTGCTAAAACTACTGCCCTGTGAAACACCACATTGCAGTGGTCCCTATAACAAAGTTGGGTCCTGATTAGACAAATAACTTAAATTCCATTCAACGAGTACTGTGAATACTTTTGCTTCTTTAATCAGTTTCAGAATACAAAGAGCAGGCTTACTTGACTCAGCAACCAAAAACTCCTGCAGTACAAAGTTCCTAAAAACTAATAGTCAAAAGCAGCCATAAAATAAATACTTCCTGTTAAACCCATGAACAAATCTGGCTGACATTTTGGAAAGTTATGAAAAGAAGAAGCACACATTCAATGTGAACACATGGCTGTAAGCCCAGACGCAGGAGGCTGAGGCAGGAGAACACTGGAGTCCGAGAGTTTGCTCACACCTATAAAATACAGGAAATGTGTCCAACACTGATAATATAAGCAAACACCTGGACATGATAAGCAACAGGAGATTCATTCAGATTTTGAAGAGGCCCAGTTCCTAACTGTGTTATTCCCTCTCCCACAGATGATCAGATGCCATCTGCAAAACTTGTGGTTCTAATGTTCAATAAAAGCTACAGTCCATTTTCTGGAGGAAGCAGGGGTCGTTTGTAAGAATTCTGTGACTATTACTACTTACACTTTTGGCTGAAACAGTGATGTTATTATAGCTGAAACAGAATATGTACATTTGAATGAAAAACAATAAAACAGGATAGATATCAGGGACACCTTATAAACTATTCCTGCCCTGCATGACACCTCCAGTCCTGAGAATGCTTGGCATAAAACCAGACTTATAGATTAATTTGAAATCTCACAGAATACCTGGGATAAGAAATGTGCTCAAACAGGAGAGATGTAAGTAAGAATGCCCCATCTATGCAGATGTTAGGAATTTCAAATACGAAAAAGAAAATCATAAGCAAACTCTGAACTGTGAAAAAGCTTTTCCATCTCTTAGCCCTGAGGCCCAATCAACAGATTGACCTGTAATGCTAATGGACACCCTGTAGTGTCGTGCAGTGACAGCAAGGGAAGTGGACTAGGGTGGAGAATGCTGTGCCTCGCTTCCAACCCTGAAAACCAGAAGCTGAAAGATGCTTTCATGAGATTCTAGCGTAGTTCCACTTTCAAAAGGTTAACAAGTAAAGGAAGAGACCAAAACTCTTAACGGAGAGTTCTGTGAATAGCTGACACACTGTCTAGCCTACTAATCAAACAGAGAAGTAAATCCTAGAAAGACAACTTACTCTAAAAGCATGGATTCCTTGCTGGGCTTCATCTCTGTGCCTTCAGTGAAATAGAAATAAGTTAAAAGAGAGAAAAGTCCCGCTATCAGCACGTCCCCTTCCTTGAGCACAGTGCTGCTCATTCCAAGAAAGCAGTCCTCATCGGCCAAGTTACACAGCCCGAGGGGGGCGTGCAGGAGGAGGGTGATCGTCACTATGAGCATGCAGAAGGGCCTGCAGAGCCTGTCTGAGCACATATAGCGTGTGTGCAGGGGTGAGTTACTGTTACGGACCCGGTCGACCCTCTTAGGCCCCTGACCTCTTTCAGTTTAGCCTCTTCCATGCATCAAGGGAATTTGTCTCCATTGTGTCCCTTGGGTTCTGTCTCTGACATCTGGTTCTGGGTGAAAAACACAAGCAGAAAAATAAGTTTGAAGGTAATCTCCTCCACCCCCAGGCACCGTCAACTCACCAAAGTTTATTGGTATTGAGGCCACATGGGCCACCTCCTCTTAAGCATCGCAAGTTCCATGGCCATGTCAATAAGCCATTGGGGATACCTGCCTCCGGGATGATGCAAATTAACTGCATTAGCAGTTTCAGTAAATGGGCACAATGCTCTGCGTGGAATTTGGGGACCAACCCCTCTAAAATCAAGATCGAAAGTTCTAGGCTCCCGTTTTCCATATTCAAAGCATCCATAAAACATTATGTTCAATGAAATGGAGACTGAAGAACAATATAGATAATCAATGAATCAAAGAGCTGGTCTTTGAAAAAATAAACTATA